GAAAAAGCAAGAACTCCATCAACATTAATAAATGTTATTGTAATTTACTGTTGTTCTGTAAAATAACATTTAAAAAATAAAATAATAATTACAACAGCTCTATTAATAAATTTATTGTAACATTTACACATGGTGTTCAGACTAGGATCTATAATATTTTCTAAATATATAGTTTTAAAAGAAGTCTTTTACGTGAAAAACCATATTCGGCCTTCGGCCAAGTGTTTCATTTCGGTGCATCCCTACAACGAGTGTTATCATCACTATGTCGGAGACATGCTAGCTTTCCCAAGGCAGACGAACTTAGAGTGGTTACAATCATCCGGGTTTAAATCGCGCTCAAATTGATTTGATTTTGACTCAATATTTACACTGAAGCTTGCAGGCGGCTATGGTAAGGGGCATGACATTTCCCGACCAGGCGCCGAGTGCTGCCAATCACAGCACACACTGGCCCAGCTAACCAATCACAGCACATTTCGTATTTCAGAAGGCGGGCCTTCATTTGATACAGGAACTATTCGAGCCGTTCATGCCAGACTGTGGAGAGAGGTGTTGTAATGTAAAATATGTGAAAAATAATGTGTTTTTCGAACAACCAAGTATGAGAGCCTGTTCTAGTACACCCCCAAAACAAAATCAAGACTTTGTAAAAGAGCATAATAGGACCCCTTTAAAGGGTTAGTTCACCCAAAAATGAAAGTTCTGTCATCAGTTACTCATCCTCATGTCATTCCAAACCCATAAGACTTTAGTTCATTTTCAAGAAATGAAGACAACCCGAGATTTGTCTGTTACTCCACTGAAAGTCTAAACAACTGAAACTTTCTTGCTCTAAAAACTCTAGAAAAAGATTGTAAAAGAAATCCATATGAATCACACATCAAGAAAGCACATTTTAGCCTCCGTTTACCATATTCAGTGTGCTCTATGTATGTGCACTGATCAATGTTTATATATAAATAAAAGCTGAAATTAAACACATTCATCATATAAAACAATTCTCTTCAGAAAACTTGGATTAAACTGCTCAATTAATATAGATTTATTTTATGATCTCTTTTGAATTTTTTTTAAAGCGTTGAGCTGAATACAGATTTGATGTTCACTTTCGATAGTAAACATAAGAAAATATCGAAAATGCCTGGTGAAATAGAAACTAAGGAACTGAAATTGTAGTTGCCTGTTGTTTGCCGGTTAGCACAAAATGAAGATGATTATGGAATTAGATTGAACATGAAAGAAATACATATAAAATATAACAAATAATATTATATGCATGACCGAGATATTTTGCTTACTCGCTTCAGCATGAAAGATGTCAGCTCAAAAGGTAAAGCCACACCTCCATATCTGCCCCTCCTGGATCCACCTATCACATGTACTGCCTGTGCCTATACTCGATTGCACATAAAACACTGTAGGATGTGTGCTGCTGTGTGTTGCACCATAATCTTACTGCCAACAAGCATGCCTTAACATGTCTTAGATTTATGACTTGGACTGTAATCAAAGAGTCACATTCTTGTCATACCAATCTACATTGTTGTCACCTTGTTCTCACGGTTTCACAGACTGATACTCATTAATGCGTGTGTGCATTAGGCTTGGTTCTGCTTTCAGGACATACTGTTAGCATTCCTGCAGGGGTTACTCATGTACCTGTTAAAGGGTGATGCAAAATCATGCCATCTGACTGCATTGACTGCAGCACCGCCCTCTCTGTTCGCCATTCATGATGAGGTCAGCGTGGGTCATGTTTAAACTACCTAAGGTTGACAAAGGCGTGCCTGAGGAAGTGCATGAGCGAAATTATATTTACTCTTCACTGTGCATTGACACAGAAGTTCACTTTTATACTAGATTGTTCTCATAGGATAGTAAACGTTCTGTTGGATTGTACAGTACAGTGTGTTGGGTTAGTTTTTTTAAGTGGAGTTTTGCTCAACTTGAGCTTGACTGTCATATTGCTGTTGAGTTTTTTTTTTTTTCCACTGTTTGTTACAGATATGAGTCAAACATCAAACTATGTGGTTTGTATGCAGTTATTTTTCTAAGCAATCATTTTTTACAGAATTGTAAAAGTCCAGTTGTTAGTTCGATAATTAATAATAAAGCAATATAACTATTGGAGAAATTGTAATAATTATTATTATTATTATTAATGATGTTGTTGTTTATCATAGATTTGTGCATATATGAGGTGTTTTGGGGTATCTGTGTCAAGTGAGTTCTGGACTCGACTTGTCATGTGCCGCGTCACTGTTTGAGATAACCCCTCTGCTCTGGAACTGCTGGTCTGTTATCAGCCCCCACCACTCCCATCACCCCTCCCTCACACTTACGAAATCAATTCCTATGAATTTCATCTTGTTCCTATGTAAATCACTCTGCTTTTTTACTTAATTGCACACATCTATGCAACGGACATCTCCTTGACTACACCTGTCACACATTTCATATCCAAACACTCTCCACCTACTTGACTGTCTCTTACTTCCTTCTCCTCATCCAGCTCTTTCAGGCTCTTTGTCAGTTAAAACAAAGTACCTGTCAATAAATTTGACCGCTCCACCCCAGATTATGTAACCAAGGCTTATCAGTTGTATTTCGATTGTCCATTGTCCTTCCATCAGACACTCATATGACGACATCTAGCTGCTCCTTTTTTGTATTATTGCACATAATATTTTTAGTGCATAGATGTAAAGATATTTGTAATGATTAAGAATTCACAATCCATCTCAGATTCTATGAAACACGAGTTTAGTGTAGTTGCTAGAATAGATTATGATGAGTATTAATATGCAGAACTATGGTGACAAAGCACTGGAGCTGTGGCCTAGGGGTTAAAGGGTTAGTTCACCCAAAAATGAAATTCTATCATTAATTACTCACCCTCATGTTGTTCCAAACCCGTAAGACCTTCGTTCATCTTCAGAACACAAATTAAGATATTTTTGATGAAATCCGAGAGCTCTCAGATCCTGCGTAGACAGCAATGCAACTGAAATTTTCCCACACCCAGAAACGTAGAAAGGACATTGTTAAAATAGTCCATGTGACATCAGTGGTTCAACCGTAATTTTTACGAAGCTGCGAGAATACTTTTTGTGCGCAAAAAAACAAAAACAAAACAAAAATAACTTTATTCAACAATTCTTCTCCCTAGGACGCCATGATAGATTATCACGACACATGCGCGTACGTTCCTTTGCATGTAAACAAGGCTTAGCGTTGTTTATGTGCAGAGGTACTCTTGATAATGGCGGAAGACGTGATTTGGAGGAGAAGAAATGGTAAAGTTGTTATTTTTGTTTTCTTTGCACACAAAAAGCATTCTCGCTGCTTTGTAAAATTACGGTTGAACCACTGATGTCACATGGACTGTTTTACCGATGTCCTTTCTACGTTTCTGGGCCTGGGAACATTTGCATTGTTGTCTATGCAGGGTCTGAGAGCTCTCGTATTTCATCAAAAATATCTTTGTGTTCTGAAGATGATTCTTACGGGTTTGGAACGACATGAGGGTGAGTAATTAATGACAGAATTTTCTTTTGGGTGAACTAACAATTTAACACATTCTCTGATTTACTGAACTGCTATGCATATGAAACTATATGCCGAGTTTGAGTCAAGCCTGTGTCACAAGACTCACAACTCAATCCCATATCCTCTTCCCCCCATCATTTCTTTTCCATCTCCTGATTGTGCTTTTTAATTAGCAATAGCTGATAACTGGTTAATATATTTGGTCTGCTTGGCCATATACCAAAGTTTGTTCTCAGTGTTTTATAATATATTTTCAAATTTTAACTTGTATAATAGTATCACATAGACTAAAAATATATCAGTATTACACCAGCCATCAGCCACCTGCCCCTTTTTACTCTGAAAAATCCCCAAATAAACAGTCAAATAAACTTCTTCCTGCTACATGCTGTGACATCTCCTCCCGTTTTGTTTCATTGTAAAGAGAAACGCTGATAAATGACTGATAAGTGTTGCGGCAGTGCACGTTTTGAACTCGTCCCATGGTTTCATTTAAGTCCTCCACATTCTTCTTCCCATATTTTCAAGCTTGTGTAGATAACTAGGGCAAAGGGAAAGACTGGAGGATGACATCAGTCTTCTTGAGTGGAAAACAGGGGTGGGCGTCTGAGGGTTGTGTGTGTGTGTGTATATGTGTTGTAATTGGCTACATGCACAGAATATTTTCGGCTTGATCACTACATTGCTCTAATACCTTTGACAAAAATTTGATACCAGTGAAACAAATTGTATTGTCTCTGAATCCGAAGATCCAACTGAGAAAACGTTGAAGAAAAAAAATGCTTCTGTCCTAACAGAAATTGTCTGGGTTATATGAAAGCATACATGTTTATGAGTCATATTAGATTTTTACTGCAGTGCTTCGGTTGAGTTATTTCAGCCTCTGTCTGGAGTTGGTGTGCTCTAATTCTGTGTGTTCCCTGAGGAAACGGGTTACGTTATAAAGCCTGAAATCCCCTTTCAGCTTTTCAGATAAAATTGGGCTTGCTACAGAATCCTGCTGAGAAATGAGGTTAGAGAAGTCTTAGAGACAGGCATGGTAAATCTCGCCCCCTGGTGGTCATTGTATGAACTCACTGTGCACACAAACTTGTCACAGGAAGGGAGGGATTATTGGAAGGCTTTGGGGGGAGGGGCACTGAAGGAGTTCAACAGTTGGCTGAAATGAGCTTGTCAGTTATTGGATGGTTGAGTGTGGTAATATTTTCCTCCTATGAATAGCTTGTGACAATATTTGTTACAGTGCTTGAATGTTACCTTCACTGTACTACAGATGGGGCTGTGGTAATTGTTTATTTCAAGTAATTATTTTTTTAAGTGTTAATTCATGTTAATAATAACTCTTTTATATATGTGTTCATGTTTTTATAAAATTTACTGGTTTATGAGTCTGTTCCTATAGAAATAAATCTCATTCTAAGCTGTTTTTTGTGTGTGTGTGTGTGCAGGAACGCTTCGCAGAGATCTTTGGAAAAGATGCAGTGGCAGAGAGCAGAAAATCACAAGAAAACTTCAAGAAGTGGTTGCTGGCGGGAATGACCTTGCTCACTGGTGTCGTGGTCGGGTCACTCATTGCACAGAAACGCCTGTGAGGATCAGGATAACTGAAAATCCAAATACACCCACTGCTTCATTTTGACCTCCTGCTAACATGAAGGAACTTCAAAAATACATTTGTTTCGGATTTATTTGTTTCCCTTTTATTGCCAAGAAATTTCATGTTTACATCCCACATCCCACCGAAAATGAGAAAAATGACAAAAAAAAGTCTAGGAAAAATGACTAAAAAAGAAGAACATTTGACCAAACCTTCATTCTTTGTGTCTGTAATTATTATTTTTTGTTGTTATAAATAATTATTTTCAGCTTTATCATCAGTCTTTTTAAGTATCCTTATTATTCTCTCGTTTTCAAAGAGACTGGCAAAACTGACAAGGATACAAACATTTTATCTTTGAATCTAATTTAAGCTAATTTGTGATTCTTGAGTTAATGACCCAATGAGAGAGAAGTTGAATCCAAACTGAATCAGAAGCATTCAGTCATTAAATCAGCACTGACATTTCTAAGGAAAGTTGTTGCTGGCTGGAGTGCCAGATATCAGCTCGAGAACAGAGAGGCACCTTTTTGGGCCCGGCACTACATTTGAGGGCCTGCTTCCTCTGTGATCTCTCATTACAGGACAGTGTGGAGAACAGATGAAACATGTCTGTGTGTGTTTTCCCCCAATTATTGTTCTGTTCTTTTTTCCCATGCAAATTTGATGAGGGTTAAATGTGAGTGACTACCTGCATGGACGGGTTTGAAATCCTCTTGAGCATCTAAATTAAAGGACCAACAGTTATGAGAAATTGTTTTGTTGTGAAAGAAAGTTCTGTATGTTCATTGCAGTTTGATGTTTGATTTATTAAACCTAACTTCAGCTTCAGATGAAACTCTTTATACCTTTGAGATTGTTGTAACTAGAGCTAGAGGAGACACAGATACACAAGAAGTGAGCAGGTCACTCCTGATGTATGTGTGGCTACCTTTCACTGTGTACACAGAAAATGTAACAGAAAACAGCAGAAAGAAATTAGATTTACCCATATTGCCACAAGAGCGCTCGGTGTCTTGTATGGTCTTGAGAATGAGGATATAACTAGAATACTGGGGCCGGTTGCATAAACTGCTTAGACTAGTCTTAAAAAGTTAGCCATTTAATTTGTTTTCTTCTAGACTGGTCATAACTGTTTAAAGTCAGTTACAAAAACGTAGATTGGCCCAATTTTAATCAGAAAAGTGAGACTGATTATCTCTTAGCTAACTGCTAGTTGGTCATTAGTTCTTAAGACAGTCTTAACATAGTGGCTATGTTTATGCAACCGGCCCCTGGTCTAGCAGTTGTGACAAGCTAATACTAGTCATTGAGTTTTTGTTTCACTTCCGTATGAAATGTCATTTGCAGTTGTTTTGTTGGTAAGCAGAAGTTTAAGACTTGCAGCACACTTAACTTTACAGAGCCAAGCTAAAATGCTAATCTCACTTTTGGTCTCTTAGCATTCACATTTCCAAGTGTAAATGTTGCTTCAACACAAATATTTGAGCATTCTTTGATTTGTTGAGTTGACCCTTACCGTGTAATGGTCCACGATGTTTATGAATCCTGGCTGACAGACATATATTAGGTAACGTTAGGTCAGATAACATCATGGTGCTGCTGCAAAAAAACAAAAACTTAAGTGTTTGACTGAACTTATTTTTTGTAGCACATTTTTTCTTCTTCAAATTACAATTCTTCATGCTTTTGAAAGCAAACCTCAGAATAGTTGGGATAAATCTCTCCGTCTCCTCACAGCACCTGATTCCCGCCGCCGAATCTCATTTTAAACGCTTTTGCTGTCAGAACGGTTAAGCGCGAGCGTGCAATACGCACCTGCTGCTTTACGCTCAGCTCGTGTCAAACTCGTTAAAGCGCCTGGAGATGTGGAGAAATTATCTTTAGGCTTCAAACCATCATTAATTCAAATAGGACGTCAAGTTGAATATTCTTCGCCTTTTCTGAGTTGTAATGATTGACGAGCGGGTTAATTCAAACACAGGCGATGAAAGCTATGGTGGTACAGGTGTGTTTCAAGCCTTCAACCCCAGTTGGAGATCTCGTGGGGAAGCTGAGATCTTTTGGTGTGTCAATCAAAACATACCAATCATAAGCGTAGCATCCTTTGAGACCTAACGCAGAAAAGAGACGTCTACAGTGTTCCGCGGATCATCAAGCAGGTCTGGAATAAAGATTTTTAGCCTACTCCCTGATCCGCTCTCGGAAGAACTATTAAATGAAATTCCCAGAGCTCGAGTGTTTTGTCTTAAAGTCAACATCGAATCAAAATGTACCCCATTAACTACTACATTTTATTGTTAACGATTCATCAATCTGTGTAAATCCAAACAGGAAAAAATCGTTTAATCTTCCAATTATAATGTAGTATAACGTGCTTCGCTTTCTCTTTTCTTAAATACAGTCTTTCTGAAATATTGCTAATAGTTTAATGATTTAATGCAGTTAATGTAATAAAAAACACACTGCAATAACAAAACATTTGAAAGTCGTTACAATCCGGATGGGATGGTTACTCTTCAACTGTCACGATTCCAAGTTCATTCAGAGGTAGGCCTACATCACATTGCGCAAGTAAAATGGGTTGCAAATTTAGTTTCATGTTGACTACAAGTTTGAAATGAAGAAATTTGACAATTTTGTCATTCAATCCAATAGCCCCCTTTTAAACTTCTAAGTTGCGAGTGAAGTGTTTAATAACAATGTACAAATTATAGTTGGTGAGTCTCCGCAGATTCAATTTGCCGACATTTACACTTTTTGCTGCTCTGTAGACACTGATTTCACACAATACATTCCGTGTTATGAAATTTGCTGCTTGCATGCTTCGTCTGTGTCTGTTTGTCATGTTGCAGTGTGTGTGTGTGTTTGTTTGAGAGAGATGCTGTGTGGTTACTGAGTTTGACAGTATGCTTAAAAGAGTGAAATGTACCAGCATTGGCACGACACTATGTATGACACTAAACTAGTTAACTTAAATGACAATTAGACTAGCTCATCATAGCTTAGTGAAAATATTTAAGGCATTTGATGATTTGAAAATTATTTATGATATTTGGTGTAAATGCATATTGTTCCTTCCTATGGCCTTAAACTCCCATTATAATTTCTTTTGACGTGTATTTGTTTCTTGTTGTGTTTATATTTAGCCAGCTTAACCTAAACAAGAGGACAAAAAAGAAAACTATTTTTTTAAGGTTTTGGGTTTATTTAAACAGCTTCACCCCTGAATAATTGTTTTATGTCTTAGGACTTTTTTAAATGTCTGATATAATTTAAATTAAATAAAAACCCATCTGAATTCACAAGTCATCGCTTGTGGTTATTATGTGTGTTGAATGAATACAACGATACACAAGATGTTATTTCAAGTTTTACTTCCGTCAGTCAAGAGGGAACACTTGTGATTCATTCAGTGTTGTGGACATTTTCTCTCTTGTTCAAATTTTACATGGTTGCCCATTGGATAATTTTCAAATGTTCACATAAAGGACGGCATAGTAATGCATGAAGACTGCCAAAGGAGAATTGCAGATAAGTAGCAAGGCTTTGACGTTTTGCTCACAGCTGTATTTCCTTTCATCTATTTCCACTGGCCCTTCTCATAGTCCCATTTGGCTGAAAAACCCTCCACGGGGTTCACCCGCATGTCCAGCATCCGCTTCACCTGCATAGCCTGCCATTCGTCATCAAGGGTACGAGGATGAGGGGGATACACTGAGAGAGCACAGAAGATTCACCTATTTTAATTCAGACATAAATCACGGAATTAAAAACCAAAAATGTAAGACGATCCCTTACCATAGTACCTTTGCCAGAGAACAACCAGGCCAGTGAACCCAATGAAGAAAAAGATACCGCCCAACACCGTCTTCCACTCACCTGTTGGTTTCTTCATCTCGGCGTATGTCTCATTAAACATAATCCTGTACACTGCCACCAAGAACCACAGCAGATAAAGATTGCAACATACAGTATTTTAGTTTTTTCCCCATGATTTTGTCTGTGCTTTGTCCTGTTAGATAAAAATCCTGTCCAATTGTTGACATATTTCTTGAAGTTGGGGTGGGACAAATCATAGGGATTGTCCTTTTTATTTTATTTAAATTAGCCAATAATTTACTTGTTATTGCTAGTCAGAGGTAGAAGGTATGAAGGGGAGTATCTTAATTTAGTGAGCATTTAATAGAACATTAATTTGGACAAACCTATTAATGCAACGAGACATCAACAGTTTTGGTCCATTTTCTCGTAAGAAAGGATAGATTTTAAACATCAATACCTGCTAAATGTAAATTTGCCAACTTTTAGCACTAGAAAATTTTAAAGCCACAAAACTCTTTAATTTGACTGTATTGCTCATATAAACATATTTGGACTCTCTAATAAGTACTGAATAAAAGAGACATAGGAGCATTAGCAGTACTAACAGGCAAGTTTCTCCTCTTTGGAAAGGCTGTTCCAGGGGCCTTTCTCCTTCTGCTTCAGGCTCTTGTCTGCAGCACTGAGGGTGTCTTTGTATGGTCTGTCAGGCAGAGGAGTGTCCAGACGGTCCCAGTACAGGGGCACAGACATGTCCGTCTGTTCTGTCACCCCACCTGTGAGAACAAGAGGAAATGATCAATTGACTAATGAGAGAAAAATACAAACATGAAATAGAAAATGCAGGAAAAAAAAAAAAAGTAATTTTATATAAACATCGTTATAATGATGTAATGCTGCTCATTGGTCATCCTTGTTTACATAGTCAAAATATTTCATTTTATTTAATTTTATGCTGTTTTTTAAAATAACGTTTAACATTACCATGCCCATGACTGGCCATCTTGACACCGCTGGAGCTGAATGCAGCCACTCCCCGTCTGGACAAAAGCCCCGCTACACGTCCGGCTGTCAAGTGCAGCATCTGATCTACAAAAGAAAAGAAAAACACACTCAAAACCTCTCAGAAAGAACACAATACCTGGCAGACTAAGGTGAAATACAGTCTAACCAAAATTCAACATTTCTCACATTATCACAGTTTATTTGCTATAAATTAAAATGGTAATAAAATATGGCAAGATCTCAAGAGTTAAACTGTGTCAGAACAAATTCATCTTGATAACGTCAGATAACTTTGATAGAAAGTTATGTAATGAATT